ATACTAAAAATTACTGTATAAGCAATAAGATTCAATTGTCAAAAAAAATTACTGTATAAGTAATAAAATTCAATTGTCAAAAAAATAAATGTTCTCAACGCCTAACATCATTTTCGAGCGTTCTTCAACTAGTTTAATGTCGTTTTTTTGATAAATAAAAGCACAACTCTTGAAAAAAGTACTTAATTTTTATGCAATAAGACAAAAGTAAAACGTTGTGTACTGCAATGTTTTTTTTTTTTTTTTTTTATAGCTGCGCTATATTCACTTTTTTTAAACCAGTTCAATTAGTTAACGTTAGAAACAAACAAACAAGAGGAGGACAAAGCAAATGCATGCATGTAGGTCGCTCTAACAAATCAGTCTACGTCTACACAATGACTGATCAGATGGGAATAAGATAAGAACTGGATAGGACTTCAGTCGAACGAGATCTAGGTGTTCTTATTTCAGAAAACTTAAAAGTCAAGCATCAAGTTGAAGCAGCGGCTGCAAGAGCAAACCAAGTACTTGGTTGGCTTAAGAAATCCTTCAGAAGCTGAGGTCTCACACTTTGGAAAGTCCTTTACAAATCGCATGTTAGACCACACCTTGAATTTGCCATCCAATCGTGGTCGCCACATCTGAAGGAAGACATTAAGGCTCTCGAAAGCATTTAAAAACCTGTGACGAAGCTGATCACAGACATCAAACATAAATCATATGAAGAAAGACTTATTCTAGGACTAACCAAACTAGAAGATAGACGAGTTAGAAATGATTTAATTCAGCAATATTAATTGCGCATGATGTTGAGAAAATCGAATTTGTTGTCTACGGGCAAACGGTTTCCCAGTATAACCTTTGTGGAAATAGCTTAAGATTTACTGAGCCGATAGTCAAGAACTGTGTCGAAAGAGAAAAGTTCTTCACAACCGTGTAGTCAGCGTATGAAATACTTTACAATCAAATGTTGTTAATGCCTTTTCAATCAACGCATTCTAAAGTCGATTCAACGCATTAACAGTATAAGTATGGACACATCGTTTGTCAGCATGGAGGTAACTGGTGCTGCATCTCTTCATCAATATATTATAAACATTTTATTTTTCATATATTATTGATTTCTGAATAAACAAATTAATATATATATATATATATATATATATATATATATATAATATATATATATATATATATATATATATATATATATACATATATATATATATATATATATATATATATATATATATATATATATATATACATATATATATATACATATATATATATATATATATATATATATATATATATATATATATATATATATATATATATATATATATATATATATATATATATAGTATATATATATATATATATATATATATATATATATATATATATATATATATATATATATATATATATATATATATATATATTAGGGTGGTCCAGATTTGTGTGGTGAAAATTCAAAGTGTGTCTAGATTCTCTCCATAAGCCTAACTTTGTTCCACTATGCTTAGGGAATAACCATACAAAAAATTGGACCAATCTGAACAGTTTTAGGGGTTGCTATGATTTCAACATTTTTTTGATGGTACTCGATTTTTACGAATTTTTGTGTAAGTTTTGCATAATTGAACATCTATCTCAACATTGTGGTAAATAAATTAATGCTTGCTGAAAAGCAGATGCTATATAAATTCATTTATATATCTAATATCTTTTAGTTGTCTATTGTCACATGATTTGGTGGCCATCTTGTAACAAGCTCATGTCTGCAGTATTTCAATAAAAATTTTATAAGGATTATTTTTTTATTTCTGGTAACAAATATTCTTATACTTAAGTATTATATTTTATATATATATATTTATTATATAGTTAATATATTGAATTACAAATAAATTATTATTAAATTAAATAGTTTTCAAAAAGAATATGCTATAAAAATTCATTTATATATCTAATATCTTTTATCAATTGTCACATGATTAAGTGACCATCTTGTATTAAGCACATGTCTGCAATATTTCAAAACAAATTATGTTTTTCAGTAATGTTTTTTCATTTCTGTTAATAATATAAAGTACTAAATATTAATTATATAAAATTAAATAGTTGAAGAACAAAGAATCATTTCAACATAAACTTCTGCAGGTAATTAATAAATAATAAAAATATATATTACACCACTTATGGCAGTTACTACAAGAAGCTCTGCAGAGGTATGGCTCATTGGGAAAGCATCTAAGCAGCTCTCCTCGTCAAGATTGGCAACAAATGGAGATGTCCTCCGGTGTCTCCTCTTTCATAATCTGGATGAGCATCTCACAATAAAGGACAGCATTCACCATACGATTCAAGAGCTGATTGTTATGTGGAATAAGGCAAGAATCCCAACACAAAGAATTGATTCTGGTGAAAGAAAACTTCAGAAATTATACGATTCCTATCTGCTCCTAAAAAAGAATCGAACTACAGACCTGGAAAGCAGTAGAATTAAAGAACAGATGTTCAAAGACACACTTTACGAGCTCCACTGGCTGCAAATGCTCCGTTTAATGATGGTCAAATGCTGAAACAGTTCCAAAAGTATCCAAACCGCACAATCGCCGATGCAGCTTTTACTGCATTTTCTCGACACCTTTGGTTCTTCTCGGAACATCTTAAATTTTTTGATTTTTTTATCATTGTGGTCAAAAAGAAATAGTAGACCACAATGGTCCCTAATAGTAGACCACAATGATAAAAAAATTTTTTGATTTTTTTATCATTGTGGTCTACTATGAGGGAGCTCATCGAAGAACTGATGATTTGTAGGGCTGCAAAACCTTTTCAATACTTGAAGGTCTTTATACTTTTCTGAGCTGATGGCCAGAGGACCATTTTCATACAACTTTGTAAGGACAGACATCTGTGGCTGCTTCTTCCCACGCCGATTCCGTGTTTTTTTTAATACAGCAGACACAAACCCACCATTCCAGGAATCCCTGTAGAGAACAAGCAATGGACGAGAGTCCAAAATGTGGATCTCCCTGACTGGGCGTGTCTTTATAGGGCATACGGCTTTGAAGAAAGGTCGAAAGTACTTTGTGTAGGCGAAGAACATGTCCTGTGTAGCCCTGATGACGGTGAAAGGTGTTGGACGTGATCGGGCAGTTGCAAATTCTGCTAACCAGTCCTCTGGCAAGTCTACATTCTTTGTCATGTTGACGTTGCTAAAATCTCTATCGCACTTCATGTAGGAGTGGCCTCTTATCGGAAAGGTGATTTTCACCAACTTGAATCTCTTGCGTTCATGTACCTGATTGTATAAGAACCTAATCATTGTGTAGTTTTTATTTTGACCACTACACCCATCGCAGAAGAAACTGATTTCGTCCACGGCTTCAGAAATGTGGCTGCGGATAAAGTCAGCAAGAAATGAACAAACGTCGTCAGCACCCTTTTTTGCTACTGTTTCATCATATGTATACATATACACTTCATCAGTTGATAATACATGGATTACAAACGTATACAGGCTGAGCTGTCTGCGATAGTAAACGTCATTGGTGGACTTGTTTGGCACTGGTAGGTTTTTGGCAAAGTCAAAGCAGATGGCTTCAAACTTGTCACATTTTCTTGCCCTTTCCTTAGCTGCAGCTTTCCTTGCGTAGAATGTGCTGGCCTTGCGTTTGTGCAGCTCGTGGTTCGTGAGTAGTTCAGTTTTTTTGCTGTTCAGACCAGCAACATCTCTACCATTGCTTTCGGCATCGGCGATGTCACCATTCACATGCTGCAACTTCACGATGAATTCGTCACATGTGGAACAAGTATTCTTCCGTGGGTAACCAAATCCAATGTTGAATTTCGTGTTAAACAGTGTCCTGTAGGATTCATAGCTAATCTGCGAAAAAAAAAAAAAAGTAAATAAAGAAAAAAAAAATAATATCACATTATCATATATAGCTTTGAAAAAAAAGGTGTTGAATTTTACAGGGAGAACTACTAACATTGTAGACAGATAAGCATCTTGGCTGTCTTTGCTTGAGTATGCGTTGAAGCCCTCAATAAGTGATTGTCTTGCAGCTTCACTTATCTGTTCAAAACATTTTAGACGGCTGCATTTGCAATCCTCACCTGTTGTGTGATTTTTTATGCGTTTAACCTTTGCCGCATCTTTTTTCCTTCCATTAATTTTTCGCTTTCGAGGCGTTACAGTCACAACTGGTCTGTCAAAGCAATCCGCCATTTTGCACGCACTTTGTTGTTATACCAAAGCTAAACGCTGATTGGCTGACCTAGTAATGTGAATCGACACCACATGACTCAGCGGGGACATGTCTACTTCTTCCCCTGTTCAATTTGGACATGTCTGGTTTTTCCCCAGATGGCTATAATTTTAAATGCTAAATGCTCGAGACTTTGCTGGTTTTTCGGTTGGACAACATAATAGGATGTAACTTTGTGTCGGGCTCTATGTAGCAAGGGAAAAAACTCAATATATGAAATTTTTGACACGTCTGCTTTTTCTTCTGTGCCCTTCATATATATATATATATATATATATATATATATATATATATATATATATATATATATATATATATATATATATATATATATATATATATATATATATATATATATATATATTATATATATATATATATATATATATATATATATATATATATATATATATATATATATATATATATATATGTATATATATATATATATATATATATATATATATATATATATATATATATATATATATATATATATATATATATATGTATATATATATAACATTTATAATATATACTATATATGTTATATGTGTGGTAACATTAGTTCTAAATAAGAAACTAAAAGTTGTTATGAAACGTCAAAAGATCCCACGCAATCATCTAATCTGATAATTTTAATACTTATATTATCAGCTATTTTTATTATTTAAATAGGAAATATATTGCAATAATTAAATAATAAGTTTTCTTTACGACTTTATTTTTAAGGCAGCATCTAGTTTACATCAGAAAAAATTGCCACTTACATCACCAAAGTCTAATAAAAGTTTTCTGCCAAGTCCTCCAATCATGCAACCTAATACATTTCAACCCGATTTTTTTTTACAATGTCGAAATTTTAAAGGCATGCTGGTCCGAAATACTAACGAAGGTGATCGAAAATCAAATTATCACTTTACAAAAGTTGTACATTGAAAGCCAACAAATAAAAGTTACATTATTATTTACCTGTTAAATCTCAATTATATTAATGGTATGTGATGTAAAATAAAAGGTGTTTTATTTGTGGTATTGTTAAATTTCAATTATGTTGACGTTATAAGTGCTTATGGTATAATTGGAAGTATTGTTTTTGAATCATTCTTGTATATAATGATTTTTTTAATTGTAAATATTTATTTATGTGCATTTACACATAGATATGCGTATACACACACAGACACACACACAGAGACACACACGTACACATTACACCCATGTAAACACTCGCATATGTATATATAATTAAAAAGATATTTTTAGCGAGATTTTTAAAACGGATTAATAAGTTAATGTTACACTAAAAATAATTTAATGCTATTAAAAAATCGTTATGTATTTTTTTATTGCTGTTGTCAAGTGCTCAAAATTTTAGTCTATAAGAATGGTTGAAATGTTTTTAGAACTTCGATAAAGTAAGTTCTAATTTGTTTTTTATTAGATCATTAGGACGCGCATGAAGTACGAATAAAAAATAAAGTGGCTATAGAAACGGTTTGCTTAGTTTCCATTCTTGGTCTCGTGTCGTTTTGCATTTATATTAATTAAATTTAATTTATATTAAGCCTATAAAACGGCTCTGTTTGCTGATGACATACCTATATACACCGGCCTACGTCTTTACAAACTCTATAGACGCAGAATAGCTATATAAATATACAATAGGGTGGGGTGATAACTTTTTTTGAAAATTTTGGTTTGTTCTTATAATAAAATAAAATTAGGTTAATAAAAAATTTGAAAATTAGTAATCATGTTTTATAAAAACATGTCTAAAATAACTTATTTAAAAAAAACCGTAATAAAATTTTTTTAACGCCTCAAAACATAATAAACGTTTTTTAACGCCTCAGTAATAAGAATTTTAATGAGCACGGATATAACTAAATTTTATGATAAAAAAGAACTCTACTTAGTACAAGGTAAAACAAGATATAGGAAAAGTAAATGGGGAGAAAATTTCAAATTATAATATTGAATATTAAATCAAAAAAGAATGTAAAATTGATGCTATCGTTCACTTTGGTAGCATCTGAATGAGTCCTATGGGAATTTCACTTCCACTTTATGGAAAAGCGGTTATTGTAGAAATAACAGAAGAATATATTTATTCTCAGAACTTGAGTAAAATTTAGAGGAAAACATATGATATTTGAAAAAATATATAATGATATTTAAAAATATATATTTGAAAAACAAATATCAAGTATTATTGAAAAAGATTAAAATGGATATTAATAAAATGGAATTTGTTTTAGCAAAAACAAAAAGAAGAAGAATTAATAGAAATAGCAGACTTACATTGAAAAAAGTTTGACAGCTATGTAGAAAGTTTACATGGTTATCGAATATGTAATCTTCAAAACCGTTTTGTAAAGCAAAAACAGTTTACGATAGTGAGTGGAGAGCTATCAAAAAAGCAAGTTTATAAATTTTACAATTAGACATTTGCAATTATAGATATATTATAAAGATGTAGGACTTGAAAGAGCTAGCATTTAACGAGCTATCTAAGCTTTTACGTGATTACTCTCAATGAATGGAGAGAACAAGTAGAAGCGTTATCATAATTTACTAAACCAGATAAGCGATCGAAATTAGCAAAGAGTCAAACTACTAAATAAATTAGCAAAGAGTCAAACTACTCCCAGTAAGCACAGATTGTTTTTAAAACGTTTAAAAAATGTTAATATTCGTTTTTATAAGTTTTTTAAACGTTTTAAAAACATCCTGAGCTTACTGGGCTATACAGGATTTCTTTAAACCAGCTCCTTAACCAGCCCCTAGACCAGCTCCAAGGCCAGCACCTAAGCCAGCCCCTCGGCCAGCTCCAAAGATTGAAGATCCATCAAAATTGAAACTTTCTTTAAAAGAAGTAAATGATTGATTAATTAATTGGGGTTCAAAATTAATATTACCAAAATTTGAAATTAGCAAACAAACTAGTAATCTTGTGGGTTATGTAGCTAAACTTTTAATAGGTCACAGACTTGAATCTGATGCACTTGTATTTATAAATGAAATGAAAGTAAATAGAAAGCAAGATTGAGCAAAAAGTAACATTAATTTTAGTTGCTGAACTAAAAAGAACATCACCTAACGGTGATACTGTAACACAAATTGTTTTCCTACGTACAGATGATGCACCAATTTTTAATAAAATTGACATTAAAATTTTTATTTATACAGCTCCAGCGAGAATTAACAAGCTTCTTGAAAAGTTTACTTTTGAGGGTACAGGATGGCAAATGAAGCGTGGTGAATCACTCCACATTGGGTTTGCTAAATATACTCCATTCAAAGGTAAATCATATATTATCACTCCAAGCTGCATTTTGAAGTGCTGCGTTATCAATATTAGAAATACCGATAACTGCGGCTTTGAGTGGGCTATTCTTAGCGCGCTACACCCAGCAGACTCTAACCCTCACCGTACTTCAAGGTATAAGAACTATCTTGGCGAGCTTAATTTTAATGAAATTGATTTCCCAATAAAAATAAGCGATATTACAAAGTTCGAACGTAGAAACTAAACACTTGAGTGTAATGTTTCTTTGCAGTTCTGTGTTGTATAACGTTTCAGAAATTTTTTCTAACAAAAATGAGATACTTTCCACAGGCACATTGTTAATAATAACAGCATAAACACATTTTCTTATAGGTAGATCATATATTTTTAATTTTTTTGGTTTCTATAATTAATCTATTATCTTTTTTTATTTTCTAAAACAATACTAGTTAAACAATGATTTTGCTTTACAAGTTGTTTGTTTTCTTGCTCTTTGATTTTTATCTGTTCCTGTATTCTTTGATAGCAATTTTGTGTTTTCTTTCTATCTTTTTAACATTTTGTTGCAACTTTGTTCTACTAATTTTAAGAATTCTTAATTCAAGTATAAAATCTAGAGAATGTAATTTATTCTGCTGAATTGTTTTTTGTTTTTTTTCTAATGAATATTTTAATTTCCATAAATTTAGAGAAAAATACTGTCTTTTAAATTATATATATATATATATATATATATATATATATATATATATATATATATATATATATATATATATATATATATATATATATATATATATATATATATATAAGGCCGGCGCGATAGGGGGGTGTAACCCCCCCCCCCATCAATTAATTTTAGTCGGCGAATTGGACCCTTTTAGACTAGATAGGTTAGTGGGTAATCTAGACAGTCAACAAATGTCGTCACGGCAGTCGGCAAATTTTTGAAAACGAGGACCTTTTTATTTTTTATTTTTTTTTTTTAAGTCGGCAAAATGTAATAGCACCCCCCCCCCCCCCACGTGACACCTACTCGCGCCGGCCCTGTTTATATATATTTTCTTTAAATTTTTACAACTACATATTAATTACAAATTTTTTTCACTGCAATATCATAAACAAAATATACTTCCAATTCAAAAAAAATAATATTTTACAAAATACCGTAAAAAAGATAAACATAGGAAGCAATAATTAAATATGCTATGACTTGATGACGGTTTTGACTGTTGTAGCGAACTCGTAGAAGACTGAGGTTAGTCTTATCATCGATAACCTTGGGGTATTGCGTAAAGTACACATATAAACATTATGATCCTTATAAAACAAATATTTTAAATGTTATTGATGTAGACTTTTTTTTTTCTTTTTATTATACTATGTATGGTTTATGCTATGTTGTGGTTAATAATAATAATATTAGCTTTATTTTTTAATTAAAAAAAATACATTTTCGTTTTTGATTTTTATTAGTTAGTTTATTAGTTTTTATTAGTTTATTAGTTTATTTTGCCGTTAAAAATATTCACTAAGTACAACAATATAAAAAGTACAATTGGCTGGAGCAAGAAGAAGGCATAAAATAGCCTCATCACCGAGCTCCAATAGTAACGCAAATAAATATCCGTAATATATAATAATCCGTAATATATAAGCAAAAGCATTTAAAAAAAGACAATTTTAAAATGTTAAGAAATAAAATTAAAAAGTATTAAAATAATTGAAAAAAAAAAGAAAAAAAAATGATTAAAATATAGTAATAAAAATGACAAAAATTTTCTGTTTTTGGTTATAAATTGGATGTGATTCGATATATGTATTTGTATATATTACTTTCTTTCAAAATAATTCAAATAAAAATTCTGTTCCGATATTATAAAATATATCAAGAAAATTGTAGGTAACTTTAAGAGAATATATATTTTTAATGAAAGTATGATAAAGACATTGAAATTCTTAATATTGTTAAACGGTCTAGATTTTTAAATTTATGGTGCTAATTTAGTTTAATGAGTTTTAAAAGTGACAGAAAAGATCTGCTATATTAAAATCCATAAGTACTAAATAACGTCTTAATTTAGATTTGAAATGCGGAAATGTTTTTTCTTTAATATTAACAATATGCTGAAAGTTTTTCCACAAAATTGGACCCCTGTACTGAAGAGAATAAGAACATAACTTTAGATTATACTTTTAAGTTACAAAGTTATTTTCTGAGAACTTGGAGGGGTATTTATGGCTTACCTCTCTAAAATAAGGATAGAATATCGCTGAAGACAGTCTATGTTTTATTTGATACATGAACTGTATGACAAGGAATATGTTAATTTTAAACACATTTAATGCATTGAGTTTACGTAGAAGTGGCTCACAAGGCACAGTTCTTTTTACTCCAAATACAATTCTACATGCATGTTTTTGTTTAGTATAAATTTTCTTTAACTTAGCGTAGCTGTTGCTTGCCCATACGATATTGCCGTAAGTTAGATAGCTATGTATAAAGGAACAATATAAACTTTTTAGAGATCTTATATCCAAAAATGGTTTTAAAATAATGACTAAAAAGTTTACAGTAACTGTAAACTTTTTAGGCATTATCTTAGACGAAAACTTAACATGAAGGGAACATATAAGCACTCTTGAAATAAAACTTTCAATAAACATTGCAATGATGTATAAAGCAAAACCATTTTTGGATATAAGATCTCTAAAAAGTTTATATTGTTTCTTTATACATAGCTATCTAACTTACGACAATATCGTATGGGCAAGCAACAGCTATGATAATATAAATATTATATAATATATAATAATATAAATATTACTAGGCAAACAACTGTTGTTTGCCTAGTAATATTTATATTATTGATTTTAAGATTGGGTAATTTTAAAGGAAGGTTTCTTGTTTTGTTTGGTTTGTGAAGTAGAATAAACTTAGTTTTGTTAACGTTAAGTGAAAGTTTATTACAAATAAACCATTCGTTTACTTTGTTTACTTCTTCATTAACTACTTTAAAAAGGGTTTTAATATCCCTA